GATAAAGTGCAAGAGGAGATGAACGTCTTCTGAAGGTCTCTATATAAACATTCAGAAGCATATACTTTTTTTTATTTTTTACTTTGGAGATTCAATTCTACAAGTGATTCGTTAAACTTGGTTAATGAAGCTAATCAGTTAACTTTAAATAAATGAGCTGAACTTAAGTTAAGTGCGGTTTGATTATTCATAAACTGGCTATCACAGTAATTCTAGTTTTGTACGAAACAAATGTACAAACAAAAGTTTTATCTGTATCGAACTGAATCACATTTGAGTAAAACAGAAACGAAAAAAGTTTATATGAAATTTGAATAGTTTCAGGCTAAATCAATTCTCATGAAATTGAGGCAAATGTTGAATTGGACTCATTATAGTCTCTGGTTTCACTGCACTGACAACTTTAGTGACTTGTGCTTGAATTGTTTACTGTGGTGCAGTGTTTGCAGGTCAAAGGATGAAAGTTTTATATGTTTGAGCTATTATGTTGGTTGCCAAGTTGAGGAATCTAAGTTTGGTTATGTAAAATGTTCGTTGTAAGTTATGAATGGTGTGATGTTTCTAATTCACCAAGTTGTAACTTTTTTTTGGTCTTGTTTGTTTAATTTCCTTGTGCCTTTCGTTCTCTGCTTCGTTGTCATGCCAATGGACACAGACAACTTCACAGTCATTCGTAGTTACAAAATAGAAAAATAATATTTTAGTTACAGAATTATTCCCACCAATAAAAGTATAAAATTTAAATAAAAGTACACAATCAATTTAACGTAGCTTGATAATTAAAAACACTTATTTTATTAAATACTCAACTAAAAAAAATAAACTTTTTAATCTTTTTATTATTATTATTTTTTTATAAAAATGGCTAACCTTTTATAATTCACAGCTATCTGGATTTTCTACCTCTAAGTTACTTTAACAACTTCTAACTACTACTTCTATAAAAGTTGTGATGGTAAACTTTATTAAAATCTTAATCATCACTTCCCAAATCTAAATATTTGATTAATTGAAAATGAAACATAGAAAAATACTTGGAGATTTGAATAGTGTTTTGAAAAAAAAATTGGTGAGAAATGTTTAATATTACTTTGCATGGAGAAATTGGAAATTCAAATAGTGTTTTTAAAATTTTTTTGCAAGAAATTTAATATTACTTTATTGGGGTTAAACGATTTGCAACAATAGTTAAACACCTTAGTTTAAGTGTTGAATGGAAAACTGTTTTAAAAACAAAACCAATAAAACACACTTTGATTTTATATTGATTCATTCCAATTGAGCTATATTGTTCTTCCTTAACAATCTGTTGAGAGGTTCCACTAAAACTAATAACCACAAATAGTTTACAACACTAACCAAACTTTGGTTAGACGAGTTTAATCACTCATGATATCAATACTAGACCAACTGTTTAAAATGTTTAAGTCTTTTGAGTTAAACTTTACAGTTGTTTGAATTCACCTCTGGATCTAAAACAATAAAGTGTTTTAAAAATCTTACAAGGCAGAAGAAAACTCTCATACAAAGGATGTAAAATTAATACAAAAAATTCTGAAAACTTGTAAATAATCTTTTCAAAGATGAGTCTTAAAAGAAATGGCTTAGAGAGAAGCAATGAATGTATATTGATCTTGATACCCAAAGTTCTTTTTTTCTTTTCATGTAATCTTCTTTATATAGACATCTTTAAAAAAGATTTGTTACTCAACTTTTAACTTTTCTTCTAGGTGTGTAGTCTTTATGAACAGTCAGAAGCTATGTTGCGTCTTGCAAACAATTATGCTGTGTGTACAGATGAGACAAGAATAAAGTATGTAGAAAACATTCTTTATCTACGTGTCTCTAAACCTTCTAACTATGAGCCGACTTTTGAATAAAGTTGGTAATCTGCACAAAAAAAAGATAGCACAACACAATAGACAAACAAAAGAGTACATGAGCTTTAGACGACCTAAGTATTTAGGCATGACATTTGTACTAGCATTTATTGCGTGTCTGTTTTGAGTAACTTTTATAGTGTTTGGGATACCTTAATGTTTAGTGAGATTATATGTGTATCCTAAATGGTCTAATTTTTATTAGACTTTTTAATGATTAGACGTTTTGTTATGAATTCTTTATCATTTAACGCTTATTAAACATACATTAGACACTATTATTTTGTTAGAATCTCTATTGTTTAGAAACTTAGAGACTAGAGTTTAGCACAATTCTAACATATGTCCTAGATGATAAAACATTATTTCGTTTTAAGTGTTATGTTAAACTTTAAAACAAAGTGCTTAGATAATATTGTTTAAAAAAAACTGTTTAGTTTGGTATTTCTTGAAATATAATATTAAATTAGTAGATGTCGTATACTTGTTACTGGATAAAAAAAATACTACATTTACTCTACTCCATTGTATTTAAATTTATTTGATGAAAAATGTTTTTCTTCTTCGGAAGATTACATATATGTCTCTCATTTTATTATTTATATACATTGACACTGCATTATTAAGCTCCACACATTATATAATGTTACAAAATTAATTTATAAGTTAAAATTTATACTTATATTTATATTATAAATTTATTTTATTTTTAGTTAATGTAAAATGTTCTATATATTCATTCAAACTAAAACATAAATATCTCTAATAATAATAATTATTATTTTCAGTATGCATAAAACACAAGAACATTAATGTAATTTGAAAATAGAAAAATCCAACAACTTATTTCTATTCATTTAAATCAATCACGACAACTTACAAAATTTTCATTCATTTTTCATCTTTTTCACTTTATTCTATCAAATCCAAAAGTAGAAAAAAAAAAACTAACAACTTATTTTTCTGTTCATTTAAATCAGTCACGACAACTTACAAAATTTTCATTCATTTCTCATCATTTTCACTTTACTTAATCAAATCCAAAAAAAACAGTAATTTTCATTTTTTCTCATTCTTTTTTTTTACTCTCTCTTTTTATCTACCTATTTTCCATTTTCTCACTTTTCATCTACTCATCCAACCAAAGCATTAAATTATGTGCTTCCAAGTTTTCAAATTGTATTGTTGGCCTTTGTTACCCTATTCAGAGAGATTGGAAACATCATATAAATACAAATACTTAATGTTTGGGAAGTTTTAACTAAGAAATTAAGTTGAGTTAAACTTAATTAGAATTGACAATAAAATATTATAGTATTTAAGTCAAGTGAATTTTGCTTATAACAAATATATTGATACAATTTTCAATCGGAACTGAAAGCTGGTTTGACTGTTTGAACTCAAATTCAAATGGATCTTTAATATATTTTTGGATTTTAAGAAATTAAAAGAATTGAAACAAACAATTTATTATTAGTTTTTAACACTTTGAAGTGAATTTTATTTTTAAATTATATTTAAAAATAAATAATAAATATGTTAGTAAATTCTTTAACAGAAACTAAAGTTAATTTGTATTTAAAAATTTATTTGAATGTTTAGTTGTTATTTTATTGTTCTCAAATATAAAAAAGAAAAAGAAAAAGAAAAAAAAGCTTAAGAATAAATAAAAGTTGGCAACGACCTCCAAAGTAGTAATCGTGTACAAAACTTTTGCGTGTTATGAATCCCAATTCTCAATAATACAACTCATTATTTCTTATTTATAACCAAATAACCACCACGCAATTATGTCTTCTCTTATTCCTATATACTCATCAAATTAAAAATATATATATATATATATATATATATATATATATATATATATAACTCTCTTTTTTCACTTTATTTCCAAGGGATATGTGCTTCTTTTCATCATTTTTAGTTTTGGAATATTGTATGATTTATTCCTTGGACTCTTTGACATGACTGTATAAGTAACGAAACAAGATACAGCAAGAAGATATCTATCATTAATATAACAATATCATTTTTATTTAATTTATCATATTATTTTAATAATTAATAGTATATTTTTTTATATATTTAATCACTTAATTATTCAAATATTGTTAAAAAATATTCTAAAAAAATCAAAGTATAAATTAATAAAATGAAAATTTATCAATTCATTGACTCGTATCTAAATAAAAAAAAATTGTAAGAACTCAATCCAGCATGAGTCTTTTTTAATAGACGAGATAATAAATTTATTCAAATGATTGTATCCATATAGGTCATAAATATCTAGATAATTGAATGTTCTTAACTTAACCAACAAAGTATAGGGCGTAGCTTCTACCAGCTGTATTATTTGTTATTGTAAATCTCATATTTAAAATTTAACTTGTATACATAATTAGAATGAAGAAAATGTATACATTCAAAGGAATTCATTTCATAATTACATCACATCAATGAATAAGACAATGGTGAAGATAAAACAAATTATAATTAGATGTTAAATTAAATAAATAGATCCAATATAAATAGTTAAGATTTGATATAGAAATGCAAAAGTTATTTTCCAATCTCACTATAAGTTATATTTTTCATTTTTTTTAGTGAATTTATGCTAAGAGAGTGACAAGTATCTTCTTTTATGTTGACCCATGTCATGCAAGTAGCTTTAGATTATATCTTAGACACTTTATTTATTTAAAAATGATAAAAAAACATTAAAAACTACTTTATATATTTAAGAATTGTACTTTCTAAATGTGATTTCAGAAAATACAATATTTTCAATGTCATTATCTCCTAACAGTGAGAGACTGATTAAAAAGCATGATTATAACTAACAATGTTTTTTTCCATTTTAGTGTTGATATCACAAACAACTTTTGTGAATAATAATAAAAAAAGAGAATTGAATAAAAGCAAAACAGCGTTTTGTTGGTAAGTGAGCATGAAAGGTAGGGCAGGTGTGTGCACATGCAGCTAATAATTCTTCTCTTTTTCTTGAAATTAAAAAGGGTAAATTGTACAATTTTTATTTTATTTTTATATGAATTTGAAAGAACTCATCTTGATGAAAATGGTATAAAAATAATGTTAAATTGATAAAGAAATGTTATGAAAAACTGTCATCGGTGTTGGATTCTCTTTCTCTCTCATTTTCTGCAGTTTGAAATTGTGAACTTTTGTAGAAAGTAAGAAAATTGCAGGAAGAAGAAAAGAGTGAGAGAATTGAAGAATGGGAGGAGAAAGTGGTTTGAAATCGAGGGAAGTATCAGCGATGATAAAGCAAGGTTTCATACCTGATCCAACGCTTTCATTCTCCCCTTCTAGAACCTTCTCACCACCACCATCCTCAACTCGCCCGAGTCCAACTCAACCTCAGGCTCACCCGCACACTCAAACCCTCTTCGACATGATGTCGGAGGAGCACAAATTCTCCGACGACAAGCGCCGCAAGGCGCAAGATCGGCTCTCCAAGCTCCTCCGGGAGCCCGCCTTGCTCGAGGGGGGCGACGTCCGCCTCACGGTGGTCGGGCGGGACGGCCTGAGGGTGTCGATGGAGGTCCGGAAGAGCGTTCTGGCCGAGAAGAGCCGGTTTTTCGCGGAGAAGCTTCGCTGCGACGGTGCGGTGTCGCACTCGGTGGAGATCAGCGACTGCGACGACGTGGAAGTGTACGTGGAAGCTGTGGTTTTGATGCACTGCGAGGATCTCAAGGCCAGGTTGCGTTCCATGGGCGATGGGGTTCCTAAAGTTTTGAGCTTGCTCAAGGTATGCTGCCAAAGTCTCACACTTTAATTACGCTTGTCTAATTAACTTAAACAAACAATAAGATGATAAAATAATATAGTTTTATACATAATTAGCTTATATATAATTAAAATCAGATTTTGGAGAAGTTACAAAAAAGAATGTTTAAGCCAGGACGTTCTCATTTTGCTTTCATTTTGATGTTCATTGTTTTGTACATTCTTCTTGTTCTTGTTTCTTGACTGCAATTGGTTTCTTATGTTGTTACTTTTACTTGCCTTATTTTGTAGGTATCGGCAGCGATCATGTTTGATCTTGGGGTTATGTCATGTCTAGAATATTTGGAATCTATTCCATGGAGTGAGGATGAACAGGAGGAAGTGATATCCCAGCTAGAACATCTGCAGATTCATGACTCTGCAGTTGAAGTTCTTCAAAGAGTATCATCGGATCCATCCACTGCTGATAGGGCTGATGACATCTTCTTGAACCTAATAAGTGGTGTTCTGCAAGCAAAAGATGACAAAGCTCGTAGGGAAATGAAAGCTCTGTTGTCTAAATTGCTTAAAGAGAATGCACCTAACGACAGCAGCAGACTTGATGTTTCCAAAGACACACTTTACCATCTTTGCCACAAGTGCATCAGTTCCCTTCTGCTTTGCCTATCGGAAGCAACCGGCGGCGATGAGAGGCTGGACCGGGGGGTTGTAATGAGCGACATAACTCGTGAAGCTGACAATATTCAGTGGATTGTTGACATTTTGATTGGCAAAAAGATAGGTGAGGAATTTGTGGAGATATGGGCTGAGCAGAAAGAACTTGCTGCACTTCACTCCAAGGTTCCAACAGTTTACCGGCATGAGATCAGTAGAATCACAGCACAACTGTGCATTGGAATTGGAAGGGGACACATTCTGGTGCCAAAAGAAACTAGATTTTCTTTGTTGTCTACATGGCTAGAAGCTCTGTATGAAGATTTTGGATGGATGAGGAGAGCTTCTAGAGCGGTTGATAGGAAATTGGTTGAGGATGGACTAAGCCAAACTATATTGACACTTCCTTTGCTCCAGCAACAGGCTGTGTTACTGAATTGGTTTGATAGATTTCTTAATAAAGGAGATGATTGTCCTAATATACAGAAGGCATTTGAGATTTGGTGGAGAAGGGCATTCATCAGACAGTATTCAGCTGAGCCTGATAATTCCCAGTTGCAAATAACTCTTTCTGATTACCCCAGCTGAAAGGTATGCAAGGGACCTTAACATAAAGAGATTAATTCACAATTGTAAATAAGAAGTGCCATTTTGCATTTGCACTTCTCATTTGGCCTGAATCGACCAATTTCACATTCATTTGTGCTCATTTCCGTATTTTGACATAAGAAAATAGATGAAAGTCATGTTACCTGGACTGTGGGAAAGCTTTATATTGAAGATAAACATTGAAGGGTGGGAGAATTTTTGGGGGAGGGAGGATAATAAAACTGTTTGAAGAATATGTTGTTCTGAGTAACGGATTGAATTGAAATGGTGTAAACTTCCACATTGTAACGGAGGAATAAATAAATGATTTCAGAATGTGCTATTCAACACGAGAGATCCCAGTGAGAAGAGTGTGGTGGTGGACAGTTTGACCTGGAGAAAACGTACGAAGAAGAGAAGTGGATTAATTTTTTTTTTATCATTAACTCGTTTGTAACATTTTCTCTTGTTGTTCGTTAATTGTCTTAAAACTAAAGCCCCCGACTTAAAACTTGCACATTAAAAAAACCTACAATTTGTAATTTTATGGGAATCAAGAAAACTTGCAATGAAACACATTGAATTTTATTATTACAAGTTTAATTATGATGTTCTTTTAAAAGAATTAAGTTAGACAGCAAACAGGAAGATCGTATATGTTTAATTATGATTTTATTAAGTATTAAAATTTCATATGCCATGTTAGCTTTCTTAACAAAATTAATTTAATAGGCTGGGCCATTTTGTGTCTAAAAACCATGAAAGTGATAGACCATTGTGCCCATCATTTATTATTCTTGTTTTGTCTTCACATAAAGAAACCTCCAAGATCCTCTACAACGACCATATTGTTGTAAATGTAGTTCTATCTAGTTCCATCATTCACCCTCTAATAAACTTGAATTTGTTCTATTTTAGTGTATACAATATATTTGGATGGTGAAGACTTGAGCAGTTGAAATTTCAACTAGAGATAATCCAATTCCATCATCTTGCACTTCGAAATTTTCAAGACTTCATGATTAACGATCGTAGACTTTAAAAACTTGCGATGAAAGTTTGGTCAGGGGTTTTTGTGCCATTTATTTGATGTTGATAAGAAAATATAGTCAAACACTTTATAGGAGCACTAATGATGCTCCTGTTGATTTTTGACAAAAAAAAATATTAATTAAATGATATTATAATACAACTCTCGATTAACCTAGCCGGATATTTACAAAAGACTAGAATTCACTAAATATTAATAAATATTTAGGCTTGAAGATACAAATAATGGTTAGTTGAAACCAATGCTTCCTCCCCTTCAGTTGTGTTTTAGCTCTATGTTGATAACTCAAGACCATTTGGAAACCAGTAATCTCATTTCATCCATGCATCTGTAAGCAAAGTAATGTTGTGAATTATTACTGGCAAATATATGCACATCCATTAGTAAATTTTCCCAACTTCAGTTGATAACATTCGTTGCACCCCAACCACGATGATGACCCACATCTGTGCTGCTAATAACAACTTCAACATTGAGACAAAATAGGACTGGCTCCATGAGGCAAATCTGGAGGATCCAACCTAAGAAAGAGCCAAGAGGGGTTAGCCAAAGTAAGTTGTAAGGACCAAAATACTAAATCAAGTAAATGACGCATATAATGGTGCCACACAAAAGTTGTTCAGAAAACAAAGAAACGTGAAAGTATTACTGGATGAATTCCCTATTTATGAGCTATATGTCGGTTTCTTAATCTATTTCACAACTTTTTATAAAGTAAAAATTTAATAAAATTAACATTTTCATGAAAACGTATAATACATTTTAGATAAATAATAAAAACAGAAATATAATCTTATAGTCAACATTTACTTATATTTTAAAGATATGTTATACAATATAACAAAGACAACAAATGAAATGCCAATTAAAGTTTAAAAATAAAGAAATATGTTTTTGGAGGGTCCCTTCTCATATTCTTCTGTTTATACTAATGAAAAGCTGATGCAATAGGAAGATGAAAGATCAAGAGACTTATCCTAGTAAGTAGAGATAACCCAACACACTACTCCCTACTAACATGAGTAGACCTAATAACCCAACACACTTACATTAATGTTTAGACTTACGAGATTTAGTATTTGAAATCTTAGAAGGGTTAGATACTCCTCAAAACATAAACATCATGCTGGTTACACTTGCAATCGATGTGTGATCAAGAAAAAAACATTTGGACCATGGACAAATGCAAGTGACCAAATAATAGATCTAAAATACACTCTAATACCATTTTAAAGTAATAGAGCCTGCTACCTGCAAATGTCTACTAAACTTTAAATTTTAGATATCTAGTCTTGCTGGTGAAGGAGGTGTTCGGATGTAATACCCCGGAGATTAATATGGACATAATAAAATTGAACCCCAAAAAAATGTAGGTGGCAAAAGTCAAAACTCATGAACCTTAACCACCACCAGGATCAAATACCATGTTGAGGCTTAATCTTTCAGGTATGGGCTAGTGAGTGACATCTCTATCAACAATCAATTTGATTTATAAGATTTTAATTGTTTGGTGGCCCAGGCCTCTGTAATTTTATACCTCCAAAATTGGCTAGTAATGAAATTGGTTTCTCCAAAAAAATTCAGTGTTTTGATACTTGGCATTTAATAAATGTTATATTGGAATTATTGACAATAAATTTATTACTATTCAATTGGTAGCGTTGACGTATAAATATCCCAGTCAGATATTTACCGACATTGCCAAAATTAACATGTCAACACTGCTAATTCGAAGGTATCATAGTAACTGTCAGAACCAAAGTAACCTTGATTAAATGTTGGGAATAAAAAAACACTGCAACAAATTTTAAGGAACCAATTTTAGATGTACAAAAAACTTACGTGACCTTTATTTTCATATTATAATTTTATCTTTAAATTGCAGAAGCACCTAACAGAAGATACTGACATACCTAATCCTAACTATAAAATACGACTAGGCTAACAATGGCCCAAACTTCCTATGTAATCCAACAGAGTCATTGCATGCATGTACCAAAAAATAGGACTAACATTTAATGCATTACTATGAAGCCACATTAACAAACATGACATTCACGTCTCACCTTTGTTTGACCTTGATCATTCCAGTACCTATTGTAATTGGTATACCCATGATTATGGATTCACTTACTCCACCAATTGAGTCATCCCTCCCACGTACAGATGCCTGGAAAAGAATATCTGCTGTCCTCTCGAATGATGCAAGCATTAATACACTTTTGCCCATCTTTGAAATTCCAAATCTATTTATTCCGAGGATATTACCCTAGTTTGAAAAAGTAATTATATTAGCGAAAAGCAGCTTATTTAGCATCAAGGCAGATATAGTAACTTTTGTTTAATTTTCTACTGAATAATCTCCAAAGAACTCACTGTGGAAGTCATCACATCTGCTAGAAGCATCATATGCCGCGTGTCTATATTCATTCCATGTGTATCCACCATTGTATACTTTATCTCCTTAACAATACACTCTCTGGCAGCTTCAATTCCCAGAGTGTCCCGCACTTCAAGAATATGATTACTAAGAGTTCTACATCCATCAACCCCTTCCACTCCCATAACCTCTCGAAAGCCCATGCTGAGAGGGAAAATAACAATGCATGCAGATTAGGAAATCAACTTAACAAATAATAAACATCAATAGAATTGAATGCTACGAATTGCCGAGGGGGCAACCACGTATACATGCAGATCAGGAAGTAAACTTAACAATTAAAAAACTACAAAATTATTGCTTCTGAGGGATGATAGTTTTCTTTATCATTTCATCACTAATCCTTAAATGTACTGGTAAATATAACAAGAGTGTTCCTTCTTAAAACTAGCTCAAGTTCAACTTATACAATAGAACAGTCCTCTATCGAAGTTCTTTTAGTCCATAATCCACCCTATAATCACTTCATATGTGATAGTATATGTGTTAGCCCATGTTGCTAAAGGCCTGACTGCAAAGGCTGCCAACTCTACTACTAGCTAACTGTCCACTGTCTTCCAGAGACTTCAAATACAATTAGGCAGGTATCTATCAAGAAGATCTGTCACAGCTGTAGCTGTTTGTCAGTTAGAACTGTCTCAGTTTCTCATTACTTTTATGGAGCGTTAGCTAGATTCCTAACTTGTAGCATAAGCTTATAGTGCAAGATAAATACCTAAAAGTAGTATAACAGTTTGAAAGCCTTTTGAGAAGATTGGTTCAAAAAAAAATTTAAGGCTCCTAGACTGTCCAATTGCTCCAAACTGTCAGTAGATGTATATCTTCTAATATCAATGTGGATAATCTCACTAAAACATCTAGTCTCTTGGCATCTACAGGTATTAGTATCGTTTGAATAAGCAGTCTAAGTCACATTCCAGTTCAATAATAGGAAAAACTGTTCACATGTCTTTTATGTTAGTTTAGGCATGTTTTACGGAAGTTAGTTACCGTAGTTATGTTACATAAAGAAGAACCTATATTGACAGTTATTGTTAACTGAGAGTTGTTCAACTATAATAACAAAAAAGTCTGATTTGAGCAAGAGTTCACTGAGAGAAGAACTTCAAGTTACGACGTCTGTTCACAATGAATTCTCTTGTGGACATAGATTAAAGTTTGTTAAAGAAATTTTTCTCCTAGTCAAAGAAAATTTGGATGAAAAGAACTATCCCATTTAGTAAAATCGATTAGCTTGCTCATGCACACTTAGTAAAAGCTCAGATCTGTGATTAAGCAACAATATTGCTGGTCATCACTAATCTGTGTCTGAAGTTTACTTGAGCAACCCTTTGGTCCAAATTCCCAACCTCAAAAAGCCATATAATATGCATGCAAACATGTATATAAAGTAGATGAAAGGAGCATGAGTCATAAAAAACAGGATGAACTAACCCTTCTACCAGTAATTTGAACTTTTCAGCCTTGGTGATTTTATCTTCTTCTTTACTGATAACAACTCGATCAGCAGTTTTAATTCCCTGCAATTAAGAAAATAAATACAAAACTGAAAAACCACACAAAGCAAACATAATATTTCCTTCATTATGCATCATTCATGAAGTCAAAAGCAAATACCTTTACCACAACTGTTGGAAGCAAATTTTTTAGATAATGAAGCTGAAAATGCAATTTACTTCTATCGGCATCTTGGGGAACAACTCGAAGCTTTTTAATATCTAAAATCTTGATGTGCTGCATATCAACAAAAAACTTTGAATACTGTGCAGGCATAAAAAAAAAAGAGATCAACAATAACAAAATTAACTTTTCACCTCT